AATCTTGCTCAAAAAAGCCCGGTCTAACGTCTAGATAGTGTTAATTCATTTTGGAGGCGGAAAAAAACAGACCTGAAGCAAGAAATATCACAAAATGCTATGCGTCCAATCCTGATAATATATTTCCTCATTTATTTCCAGGTTATCAGGTCGCCTTCATCAAATCAGCCCTATCATCAGCACATCTAACATGATGTTACTGAAGTTTACGTCTGAAGGCTATTTGAGTATAAACCCTGGAGTCCCTCTCACCGGTCAGGGGTTCCAGTTTTCTTACATAAGTAAGTCCTTTGATTACATTTTTACAAGAACCACATAGTAAGTTTTGGTCTGCTGCTCAACATGAACCACTTTGTTTACTCAGGGATTTTGAAAAGAACGCTTGTATATAAGATTACTCAAACTTATGTAAACTACTAGACCCAATTCTACCTCTGACTGCTGTGGTTGTAACATGGGCACTGACCTCGCAAAGTTGACAGTACCCAGGACGAATTACTCCTTAGGAGACTTAAAGAAATAGACAACAGCTAGGTAATTGAATTATTGTAATTTTAACAAGATAGGTTTCTGTGACGCTGCTTTGATCGTAGTGCAAGCAATTGATTTACAGTTACTCGTACAGTTCTAACAGAGCCCCCTCCAGTCTAAGTGTATACTGTTTTAAGCTACCAAATGGAGACCACGATTACAATACTTTTTAGGCACATTTACTATCTAAGCTAATGATCAGCTGTAAGAAATGGATTTTCAGGTTACAAATACATATCTGTAAATCTATAAGTAGACACTTGGGGTCAGGGCTGTTCAGAAGGTTAAATTTGATTGGTTTTCTTGAAACTGAATATTGTTTGTAGAATTTTCTTATCTACGTGACGTAGTTACAGACATCTGGCCTAGCTTATTCTGTGTGGTTTAGTTACTGTTGCTTTGAAAATCAGTGCTGCAATAGTAGTGAAATATTTGAATCTGTTCAACAATATAATTAACCAGCATTATGCCTATCTGTTCCTGGCATTGTTTCTAGCTGGTAGAGAGTGTGGAATATTTATGTGCTGAAGGGGTTTACTGACCTTTCAAGGTTCCGAAAAAGCCACGGTAGGGACAACTGGTTGTAACCAGGATCCAGGCTATTGATTTTGCATGCTTTTAAAGTAATGCAACATTATTTGTGAGAAAGCAGATTCATTACCTTACATGTGCCAAAAAACAGTTCAAGCAACTGGATATGATTTTGAAAACGTCAGACGTTTCAGCTAGTATCCACTAGCTTTCGTGAGTGACTGAGAGACCAGAGGGGAAAGCAGGTTTATATACACAACCTGTTGATTGATATGCAAATAAAGACAAATTTTTGGAAGTCGAAAAAGGAACAAAAGTCAGACAAGTCAAGACAAGATGATGCAAATTAGTCTGAAAGCTCCTGTTATACAGGACAGGAGCTTAAGTGTTGTCTGTCCTCGGGGCTGGGAGTGCCAAATCACAAGTGCCGGAAAGATCGACCCGTAGCCCCCCTTCCCTGTTGAGGGTGGGGTTGTACATTCTTTCATATATTGCCTCTTTAACACCCCGTTCCCACCAGCGTGTTTCGCGGTCTAAGACATCCGTGGACTCGAGTTTGAAAGAGTGACCCTGGTTGTGTTGTAGGTGGTCGAAAATAGCTGAGGAGTAGCCGTTGGCACTAGGTCGGCAATGTTCTTTGTACCTTACTTTAAGCGGTCGACTTGTCTCTCAGAAGTAGGTGTTGTTACAATTGGGCTCCTCACATTTGAGTCTGTAGATAACATTCGCCTTGGTACCCTTGTGAGGTCGGTCCTTAGGGTGTACCAGTCTTTGTCTGAGGGTTGAGTGAGGTTTGAAGTTAGTGGCTATGTTGAAGTTTTGGAAGATCCGTCGGAGTTTCTCAGATACTCCTTGGACATACGGAATAGTGATGTTGGCCTTGTTTTTGTTGGTCAATGGTTTGCACTTCTGGGTTTTCTTAGACTGATCTGAAGGTTTGAGCGCTTTGTTGAAAGTCCAGTTTTGGTAGCCACATTTAGCCAGGGCACCTTGGAGGTGTCTTTGTTCGTCCGTTTTGGCTTGGTCTGAAGTGACAATGTTGTCTGCACGATGGAAGAGAGTTTTGATCACTGCTAGTTTGTGTTCCAAAGGGTGGTGGGAATCAAAAGCCAGGTACTGATCAGTGTGGGTTGGTTTCCTGTACACTTCGAAACGAAGATTACCATCTTCCTCTACGATAGTTTTGGTGTCTAGGAAAGGGAGCATGTTGTCATGGCTTGGCTCCTGTGTGAACTTGATGTTGTCATCTATCTGGTTGATGTGGTCAAAGAAGTCAGCAGCTACCCTCTTTTTCAATCTGCACCAAGTGTCATCTACATATCGAAACCAGTTGGCCGGGGGAGTGTCATTGAAAGTGCTGAGGGCTTTGTTTTCAAACTTCTCCATGTACAGGTTTACAACAATTGGTGAGACTGGTGATCCCATAGCACAGCCGTGCATTTGTTGGTAGAACTGTCCTTTGTAGGTAAAGGCCCGGTCACACTGGCCGAACTTTGCTGGAGCGTTCCTTTAACGGTAGGGACGGTGTCCGAATTTCGACAACGCTCGTCACCGCGCCCAAAATGTGGGAAAAAAAATAAAAACACGGGCGTTGACTTAGCGGTGCACTGCTGAAGCCGGCGTTGCTTTAGCGTTGGTTTAGCGGTAGCAAACGTTGGTATAGCGGTGACGCAAGCGTTGGTATAGCGGCGTTCTGCGCATGCGGTTTAGCGGCATACCGCTTGTGACTACGGAGTTGAACGGATCGTTTTGTAGTAGTACAATTTCCGTTCTGTGTGTGGGGGGACTTATAGCTTTAATAAACATCATTTTGTTAATCTATTCTTGACTACGTTATTTAATTGATAATGAAAATAAAACTTTGCAGATTGCAAAGTTCCCCTGTGACCCCAATAAAGTGATTGTCCGTGTGACCCTTCTTTGAACATTTTACGTGTGGCCCAAAAATAATTGCACACTAGTGCACCAATCATAGCAAGTCTCTCAGCAGCCAGGGTGATACAGTTTTACTGTAACTTCGAGCAGGCCTGAACTCAACGGCAGCTCGATTCCAAATGAGCACCTGGTCCATTTCTCACCGTACTTATAGCCAAATTTTGGTCCCGCTCCGACACCTCTATACCAACGCCAAACCAAAGTTCATTGCCGACATGAATCGCTGCTTCAACGCTTGACACCGTTCCAGCAAACCCCGTGTCCGCTCGTAAAACGCTTGCAACCGCTCCAGCGAAGTTTGTGCAACGTTTGTGCAACGTTTAATCGCCGCCCGGGCAACGCTGGCGAAACAGCGGTGGTCAAGCGTTCAAGATTTCTGCGTTGGCCTAGCGGACCCAAGCGTCCACGAACTTGCGTCTAGCGATGCCAAACTTTGACTGGGCGTTGGTGGAGCGGGGGTGAACTTTGCCGGAGCGGAAAATTTCCCCCTCCTCACCGCTCGCAATATTTTGTGCAGCTCAAAACTTTCGGAGCGGTAGGAGGGCCCCTCCAGAAACGTCAGCGGTGGCCGGGCGTACACGGCGTTGCTTTAACGGTGGTCAACTTCTGTTTAGCGGTGGTGAGCGGTTTCGAGCGGTGATGAATTTTATTCACCGTTCAAGCAACGCTCCAGCAAAGTTCCGCCAGTGTGACCGGGCCTTAAAGTATGTGCATCCTAAGCAGAGTTCTAGTAGCTCACAAACTTGGTCAACGGATAGGTTGGTTCTATCTGCAAGTGTATCATCGGCTTCCAAGGCTTCCTTGACTACTGACACTGCTTCCTTGGGTGGTATGGAGGTGAAAAGTGAGCACACGTCATACGAAGTGATGGTTTCATCATCCTCTACATGAATGTCTTTGATTTTGTTGACAAGGTCGGCACTATTCTGTATATGGTGCTGAGATTTCCCCACTAGTGGTCCTAAAATCTTGGCTAGAAAACCTGCTAACTCATAGGTGACAGAGCCTATACTGGAGACTATGGGTCGTAGAGGGACACTTTGTTTGTGGATTTTGGGAAGGCCGTAGAAAGCAGGGGGTTGTTCCGTTGTGGGATTGAGTTTTAGGTAGGTGGGGCGATACACTTAAGCTCCTGTCCTGTATAACAGGAGCTTTCAGACTAATTTGCATCATCTTGTCTTGACTTGTCTGACTTTTGTTCCTTTTTCGACTTCCAAAAATTTGTCTTCACTTTATTTGCATATCAATCAACAGGTTGTGTATATAAACCTGCTTTCCCCTCTGGTCTCTCAGTCACTCACGAAAGCTAGTGGATACTAGCTGAAACGTCTGACGTTTTCAAAATCATATCCAGTTGCTTAAGTAACTGTTTTTTGGCATATCGTATTACCTGGATGTCTAACCTTCATCGACATTACCTTACATGATTTTCTTAATGATTCCAGGCAGTACTGCAGGTCAATGCTGGGATCCCGGTGTGCCTGCCAATGGAAACAGGGATAACAACAGTAACTTTACATCAGGACAGACAGTCAGGTACACCTGTATAACCGGTTATCAGCTGTCAGGGAATGCCAATATAACCTGCCAGTCGAACGGGACATGGAGTGATGCTACACCAACTTGTGAAGGTAATGAAAAAATGACATTGACGTTAAAGTTGGATAATCTTATTTACTGTATCCAGCATAACCGATAAGTGACCGATGAGACATTCGGTGCTCTTTAAATAATAAAGGAATAAGTTTAGGTCAAGCATAGATGGCAATGTTTAAAGAAACGTTGTCCCTAGTTTGCCCCTACCTCACCTTACCTTGAAAAAAATTCTAATTAGAAAGGCGAACATTTGCTCGGGTGCAAATAGAGCATACTTTGCCCGTTGTTTCTTCGCACTTCAAAATAGGTCGTTCGATATGAACTTTTTCCTTCACCCCCTGTTCGTAACAATTGTTCTCGAACCCCCCGTGGCTCATACAGTGCCCCCCCCACCAGTTCTTGAGAGAAATATTCTCAAAACCCTATGTATTGTTCGAACCACCATACAGTACGCCAAAAAGCAGTTACTCAAGCAACTGGATATGATTTTGAAAACGGTCAGAGGTTTCAGGTAGCATCCACTACCTTTCGTCAGTGATTGAGAGACCAGAGGTCCCGGTTTCAAATTCAGCCCAATGCCACCGATCTGGTGCCCTTGGGAAGGCACGATTTCCCTCACTTTACTGGTCAAAATGAGTACCTACATGTAGCTTCGGTTAGGGACGTCCCTTGAGTCGTCTGCTTAGCCATGGAGGTTTAGCCACTATGCCTATATTTGCCTGGTCAAATGTCTGCTATATGTCACATAAACCGTCCTGGTAAATTCGATTTTTTTTGCAGCGAGAGTTAGCCTGACTGGTCCCTCTGGAGGCCCTGTGACGTCACTTAACTATCCCAGTAACTATGGCAACAATGAGAACACCGAGTGGTTGATCACTGTACCAAAAGCAAGCATCATTCGTCTCACGTTCGACGGTTTCTCGACTGAGTCCCAAAATGACTTTTTAACAATATACGATGGAGCCAGTAACAACGCCAAACAGTTACTAAGGTAATACATTTTCATAACACACAGTCAAAATTCTAATAAGGACTCTAAGATGCAACTAAATTTTGTATTGGTGACTTTCAATGATCATGTACATGTAAGATCAATCGAACAGTCTAAAAGAGTAAATTCGTTCTGAATATATATCGATGATGGAAAGGAAACGCCAAAATCAATGAATATTTATTTATCGATTTTTGTTCAGGTTGACAGGTCACCGTTCTAAAATCAGCCCCATCATCAGCACATCTAACATGATGTTCCTGAGGTTTACATCTGACGACAGTGTCACCTATCAGGGGTTCCAGTTCTCCTATATAAGTAAGGTCTTTGATAGTTCTTCTTGGCTTGGCTTCGTATCCGAAGATTGTCAGGGGCCCTTCTCTCTCCTGTTGCACGCCCTCTGGTGGCTGACAAGTCCGATGGTACTTAACACTGAAACCACAGTATCCTTGACGAATTTTGGCACATATTAACTATGTAAAGGTTATCCTATTTTGCATATTTGATGAAAAAATTAATAGTTCTATACTAATGATCCCATACGTGTGGCTCTTGTACGTAAAGTGAACATGAGCATTCTCATACTTTATTTATTCCAATCAGGACCTCATTTTGCATGATTCATGGGGAAACGCTGAAATAGCTTTCTTTGTTTAGAATGAGACTACCGTAGCGTCGGGTGTAGAATATAAACAACCAAAGTGAATATGATTCATGCAAATGATGATTTTATTCGCATAAACACCGAGACAAAGAAATATGTATAATTCGTCAATGATAAAGGTTAACATTATATAGCGAAGGTCGTGGAACTCTAGTTTCTCATTATCTAGGCAGCACTATAGGCCAATGCTGGGATCCCGGTGTGCCAGCCAATGGGAACAGGGATAACAACAGTAACTTTACATCAGGACAGACAGTCAGATACACCTGTATTTCCGGTTACCGGCTGTCAGGGACTGCCAATATAACCTGCCAGTCTAACGGGACATGGAGTGATGATACACCGACTTGTGAAGGTAATGAAATACTCATTGACTTCAGGATTTTATAATGGGGTTTATTGTGTAAACACGTAACCGATAAGAGACTAATGAGGCACTTTGGATTTTGAAAAACACTGTACGTTTAACTCAAATGGCAATGTTGAAAGAAACTTTGATCCTACTTAGTTTACCCAAGGACATTATACCTTACATTACCTCAAAATAATATTTTTTTAATAATTACAAACAAAACCAGTTATGAATCGCATAATGTCACAGAAAGTAGAGACAAGCCATGTGTTATGTAAAGCTTTTTTTACCTTGTATGAATTGACGTGGAAAAGTTGTTTCTTTCTATGGTTTTCTAACGACTTAAAAACGTATTGCCTTCACCAGAAGGTTATTTTTCGACTTGGCCATGGTTGAGTGCGGGTCTGCATAACTCTAGAAGCTGTGGAACGATCTTTATGATATTTGGCAGGTGAAAAGTAGTTGTATAATTAAACCGAAGTCAATGTTTGATAATGGGCTCCTAGTGGATACTTACGCACTGCTGTCGAGCTTCACAGTTTGAGGTAAAAAATTAGGAAGTGCCAGGTTTATGGTTTTTGAGTGGTAAAAAGCTCTTGCGGCAGGGAGTTAAGCGACGGTCACAACCCGCCGTACGTGCTTCTGCGTGCTGTCTACGTGCAAAAACGTGGGCAAACGTAGGGGATCCGTGAGTGGTGAGTACCGCCTCCGTACGGAATCCTACGGATTTGGAAGCACGCAGACACGCCGTAGAACTTTAAGTACATGTAAAACTTTTTCTACGTGCGGTCTGCGGATTCACCACCCGTGCGTGCGAGTACGTGCGACGTGCGTGCCCCGTACGTGCCGTGCGGGAGAGGCACGTGTGAGTGCGGCCTCCTTACGGTAAAGTTGCAATCGCACAGAGATCGTACGTTGTAAGCACGTACAACTCACTTACGACTTGCGCAACGTGCGATGCACTCAACCGCTCACGGCCAGACTTGGCGTGCAGAGCACACTCTTACACCTTGTGCAACCGTGCGAGTGACGTGAGAGTGACGTGCGTCGACGCCACTCCTTCTCCACGTTTTCAGAAAAAACTTAGCAGACGTAACCTCCCAAAAACGTACGGAGAAAAAGCACGTACGGCGGCGGGTTGTGACCGTCGCTTAAGTGGTCTTCGGGTCCCGTAGTTCCTGGTTATGGAACTGCAGGGGCATCTGTTACAAAATCTTTGAATGGGGATTATTTTAAAAACCGGTTGATGTATCGTCAAGTAATTCTTGACGTATTTAAATGATATTTATTCAAATCAACCTCAAATTTGCATAATTAACTAGAAATTATATAAATCAGTTGTGTTCCATGATATCATTATACTCAATATATACATGCCTAATTGAGAACAAGAGGAACGTGGGCAAATATTGATTATGTAAATGAAAACCTAATTTGCATAATCAATTAGACAATACTATCATTCCATAGCGGTACCTGTCTGCAAAGGGGAGGGGGTCGACGACACTTGCTATGCTACCAACTTAATATTCCGTTAACATCCTCCCTTGACTCGCAAGCCTCTCCAAAATCGATGCTGGATTATAATAGACTCCAGTGGTGCCATATATCGCACAAAAATGATGTTAACGCCTGTTTTCTCTGTTGTTCCGCGTCGCTTTCCCTAACGGTTTATGTTAACCGCCAACACAGGGCGCATGCGTGCGTAAGTTGGCCAATTAGAGGTTGCCCAGCTACCCTGCGGTTAGAAAATTCAAGACCCTCATACCAGAGATTAATCCTTTTTTCATTAACTCACGATTTGAGGCACTCCCGAATGACTGAGTTGGAAAACAAAGTAGGATCTTCCTCAAGGTTATTGGGTCCCTAGGATACGTCGCCGAGTCAACAAGTTCTTGATATTTGCAAAATCCCGCTTCTGGTATCTTTTCTTGAGTCTGCCGGAGACTCCACAGCAACAGTGCCTTGTGTTCTTTTAGAATCCGCTAAGTTCTCGGTAGTCAGATTTGTTGAAATGTGTGTTAGTATAGTTGACGCCATGAGGGGTATTTATTGTATCTGCATGTTTCGAGCTGATATACAAATACATTGTAATCCAAACTTTTACATATCTAAAAAGGAGGTTCCTTGCGAATATCGTAGTTGTTCCTCAACGATCCTGACGTATATGGTGCCGTAATTGTCGGAATTGAAGTATAAATTCGTATTCGAGTAAGGGTAACGGTTTCTCCACGTTTGCTGGGAAACGTTTTCCCAATGATGCACGATTCCGGGTCCACCGGATTTACCAGTATTCCTGTGCTGGAGTGATCTGATGCGCAAAAATACCCCTAGTTGGGGTCGTGTGGCGTAGCGGCAGAGTGCGCGACTCGGAACCAAGAGTCCCGGGTTCGAGTCCTGACATGCCACCGATCTTGTGCCCTTGAGAAAGACACTTTACACGGCTTTCCTCACTTCGCTCAGGTGTAAATGAGTATTGTCCTGTCATGTATTTGTCTCCTGTGTTGGTGACGGCATTAATATAAGTTGAAAAAATTTAAGTGTGTCGTCACCACGTCTGGTGATTGCATGTTGGAATAATAATAAAAAAATACCCCTAGTCCTTAAAATCATCCATTGGAATTTGCTCGATGGCCTATCAATCCCATAAAAGCTTACATATTTCCAAGCCACCGTGTTAGCAAGCTTTTCTCGGAAAATCGAATTAAGAATTGCATATCTTTTAAGGAAACGAAATTTTTACATGAATAATAAAGCCAAACCGACTTGATTTTACGAATGCTCGCTCATTAATTTCCGCCTGTTTTCAAAAAATCATGTCTTTTGACGCTCCACGAACTTCGGAACTAGGCTGGAACTTAGTACAGCGTTTATTCATAAATACAAAAAAAGGGCGTCATACCGTAAAACTAGTTATGTATATACTGATGGAATAGATTGAATGCCCAGAATCATAGGTAATAGTATACGTAGCAGCTATATTAGGTAGATTCAGAATTTAGGATATTCATAGACAGTCTACATCTACCCCCTGCTAATAAAAGCTTGTTTGTTTGATACAGTCACTGTGTCATGTGGTTCAATTTGCAATACCGGCTTTATATTCCTGTGTTTAAGCAGAGTTTTTCTTGTTTAATTTTTTCGCCCTCTTTCATTAGTCTTGGGGTCTCCAGAGGATGCCATCCATAATATTAAGGCAGCGTGGCCTAAAAAGAATATAGTTGACTTTTAAAATCTTTAATATTATGGTTGCCAGATAAAGAATAGGCAATTTCCTTGCTGAAAGCAAATGATTTTTAGTGTAGAAGTGTAAACAGTGAAAGTAAACATTTCTGAGATGTTCTTTGAAGACGGCCAACGTTAGGCTCTTACCAACACAAAACCAGGTGACATAATCCAAAGTTCTGCTGGAGTACCAAGGACAGGTGTATGTAGTAAAGCCATTTGTTTCCCATTTACATATTTGTAGAAAAAATGATACTGCTAGTTAATGTTTCTATGATTATTGAATAAATATCAATGATATTGTGGCATCTGGGTAAAGGCATTACTAAATCTAGCTAAGCCCAGTCCGCATTGGTAACATTTAAACGTTAAACATTATTATCATATAGCCAGGTGACGTTGACCAATCAGAAGGCTTCATTTCACATTCCTTATGACGCCGTAATGTCACAAACAGAGTTAAAACCGGGTCATTATTCATCCCAATCCATACATTAACCCTAAACAGTACACCTGGGGTCCGCGCGGACCCCAGCACTATATATTCTGTAATATCTTTTTTGATCCTAAAGATTTTTTTCTGAAATTTTAGGTAATTGTCACCCACAAAGTTGTCTCTAAATACAGTGCAAAAAACTCTGTTTCTACCATTTATAAAAAAAATTATATCTGATTTTCTTTTAGGGTCCGCGCGGACCCCAGCCGGCTTTCGATCATAATGGATACACTGGCGTTCTTATACATTACCTTATTCCCGTTTTTATATGCAATCCTCATCGTATGTCTACCAAGTTTTCAGAGAATGGTGTAGTAATAGAATTAAATTTTAATAACTTTGGTATAATTATTTCGTCATATGACGTCAGAGCTAATAATATAGTCCGCCATATTGGATTTTGACCAATGACGTCATCAACTTAGCATATTCTATGCATATTAAATGATTTAACTTATATTTAATTATGTAAGATGTTATTAATGTTGGAAAAGAAGTGTAATTTAATATAAAACTCAGAAAATTTTTATGTTTAAACCAAAATTACTTTTATTTTCAAAAAAACTGCCTGCTAGAAACCCGTTGCCATGGCAACACAAAAAAACATCAACTTACTAGTATTAAACTAATATGAACTTTTTGCCAGAGACATTTTAGGAAAGGTCTCCAAATTTGATACTTCTAGCGCAAGCCGTGTAGCCGCTATCTGAGATCAAAGTTGGGCCTCAAAAGCACCTTCAGTCTGAGATGGGTTTAAAAATCGGGTATTCCTTCTTGTCTTCTTTTCTTCACCAAAAATAGAAAAAGTTCAAAATGTATGATTTTTGTATGTAATGTGGACACAGAGGTTCCCACATCAGTTTGCAACACAATTGAGCTGGTAGCATGTTGATAATTTCTAAAAATTAGCAAAAAACTGTTCTGGGGTCCGCGCGGACCCCAGGTGTACAGATTAATCAGTCCGGGAAGGTGTACTGTTGAGGGTTAAACATCCAATAATTATCAGCATATGACATCAGGTGACCCAAATAGAACGCCGCTCTGTTTTAAAAAAAAATCCAAAAATAACTTGAGTTGTGTTCCAATGATCTCGGGTGACTCCCATGAGAGCACCTGTTCCCTGACTTTGACCCAGATAGAACACGGCCCTCTTCAAGTGACCTCAGGTGACTCCAGATGGAACTATGTTATATTTAGTTTGGATGTGTTATACAGGATTGTGTCACTCTTTACTGTGTAAGTTTTGATAGGCTATATGATAATAACGTTAATCTCCCGCCCTTTCTCGGTGAATATGGTGTGATAAGGCCTTGTCAGTTAATATAAACACCTCATTAAGTCATCTCGTTCGCTGCGCTCACTCGGTGGCTTCATTCGGTAGTTATAGCAACTTACAAGGCTTTATCACACCATATTCACTTAGAAGCGGGTCATTAACCCTTTTTATAGCTGGTAATGGTAACTATTACAAGCTATATCATACAGGAAAGAGTTTTGTATTTTTGAACATTTTCAATAATTGTTGTTTAATAGTTGTTTTTCAATAATATTTTGTCAAATAGAGTTAATAATTACGCGTTATATGTACCGTACTGGTAAATCCTATTTTTCGTGTAGTGGGTGTCAGCCTAACGGCTCCTTCTGGAGGCCCTGTGACGTCACCCAACTATCCTAGTAACTATAACAATAATCAGAGGTGCGAGTGGTCCATAATCGTAGCAGAAGGGAGCATCATCCGGCTGTCGTTCGACAGTTTCAACACACAGCTGAGATTTGACATTCTTACCATCTACGATGGAGCCAGTGATGACGCTACAGTGTTACAAAGGTGATGTTTTCTTAGTACATAATCAATACCTTCTTTAGAACTAATTTTAAACCCTATCTAGACCGGGCTTTTTGGGGCAAAAATTTATCATAACTACAATTTTGATGTCGTTTTGACGTAATATGACGTCGTTATGACGTCATTAATGTGATTTTATTGGCCAAAACCGTATAGATAGGTTATTCCCTAAAAATTCAATAGTATACAACGTGACTTTAACAAAAAGTGTTTATAATAGAATATTAGGGTGTACTAAAACTTATGTTGCCCTTAGCATCACCAGTGACGTCATGCATATTAAAGCTATCCGCCATATATATCTTGGATTATCAATCTTGAATTTTGAAAATAGTTTTCTTTTTCAAGATAAAGGCTAAAATACATTAAAAATAGACAAAAGACGTTCGAATGAACCTTTTTTGGAAAAAGAAATGGAAGTAGTGATGGAATTTTTAGGACAAATAACCTGTTTATACTGATCTTATGATGTTGTCCGTCATCTTGGATTTTGGCAAATGACGTCATCAAATTACCATAAATTATGCATTTCTAATGATGAATTTTACGTCAAATTACATGAGATTTTATTAATATTAGAAACCGTATGTAACTTGACATAAAACCCATACAATTCGATTGTTGTAACGAAAATGACTAAATTTAGCAAAAATGCCCGTCAGAAACCCGTTTCCCATGGCAACACCAAAATCATTATCTCATTCCACTGATCCAGAATTGTTGCCAACAATATTTTAGGAACAGTCACTAAGTTTGGTGGTTCTAGTGCGAGTTGTTCAGACGCTATCCAACATCAAAGCCAGCCTAGCGGGGACCAATGGGCGGGCAGCATTTCGGCCACACCTACAACCCGCGCTTTAGCAAGATATGGTTGAAAAAGATGTTTATTAAACTTGTTCAAAAGATACATTTGTAAATTGTTTTCTGAAATTCTGTGTCTTTGAATAGTTCGAGCAAAATAACTACCAGGCCGAGTTAAACAATTTCCGCACTGGGCTTCTGGTGCTTACGTTGGCCGCGCGGCGTACAAAACAAGTCTTTGTCTGTTATTTCGGTACTTGCATTGTTTATCTGACATTTCCAACGCAGATTACCTGCCGCGCCGTACGGAATGATGCTGTCCTACCCTATTGTCGAATGGAATCGCCCGCAAAGTGGGCGTGGCACGCGCGCGGAATGCTGGTCACCCATTGGTCGCCGCTAGACTATGTGGATGCAAAATTGATCTAGACCCCCCCCCCCGGTCTAGATAGGGTTAACGTAGTTCGGAAAGTTACATGTAGAAATGAAATAATAATGATGAATTTTGATAGTCAAGCCAACAGTTTTTAAGTTCATTTTATTGTGGATAGCCGAGAGAAACAAACATGAAGCAAGATATCACAAATCCATATAGCTGATCCCTTCGTACATGTTCAGGTTATCAGGTTACCATCAACAAATCAGCCCCATCATCAGCACATCTAACATGATGTTCCTGAGGTTTACATCTAACTACTATTACACCAGTCAGGGGTTCCAGTTCTCCTACATAAGTAAGGCCTTTGATTACGCTTTTTGGCTTTGGTTTGCTGTTAAATATATAATTCTTTGTGTTTTTCTAAGGATGTTAATAATCTGCATGTTTTTGATATAATAATGCAACATTAGCTGTAAAAAAATATTCATTACGTTACATCCTTTTGAATTTTTCAGGCAGTACTGCAGGTCAATGCTGGGATCCAGGTTTGCCCACCGATGGGACCAGGGATAACAACAGGAACTTTACATCAGGACAGGCAGTCAGATACACCTGTATGGATGGGTACCATCTTTGGGGGACTGCCAATATAACCTGCCAGTCTAACGGGACATGGAGTGATTCTCTACCAACTTGTGAAGGTACAAAGATACATATTCTTAGGCTCAAATAATCAGGTTTCCTGTATACACAATTAACCGAAAATTGAATGATAAAGAATTTCGCCCTTGAAGAAATAAAATCAACTGAAACAAAATATTTAAAGTGGCTTTGACCCTGTTTTTGCTTACTTATCCTTACCAGATAATAGTTTTCTTCCAAATATGAAGATCCAGCTATAAATGGTATAATTTTTAAAGAATGTCGGGTATAATTTTAACAGAATGTCGAGATAAGCCTCATGTTAATTAAGTACAAAATGAGTTTTTGAGTAAAAATACACATTTTACCATTTCCGAATTATCTACGATTTTAACCTAAAGAATTGGCAAAGTAGAGTTTCAGAAACATATGCTTTCGCCATGTAAAGAAGCGTTAATATTTTAATGTTTTAAATAATAACCTTTTAAGTTATTATGTTATGTAATCTTGTCCAGTAACTCCTTTGAGCTGTCTTGGGATTACACCCGTACTTCAACCCATTATTTCTTTGTGTTGTGGAGCACAGGTGTATTTGCCATAATTTGGGGCAGAACACACATAAACCTAGTTACACAGGTATAGGGACAAACATACCCTACCTTAGCATCATCTAGATGAACAATGCGATTTATTAAAAGTCAATGCATCTCCAAATGTTAATCATTAAATAATTTACATACCTGCGAAAAAATTGAAATTCATCAACCCCAGCATAAACTATTAGCTTGTAAGTTGAAAAGATAAAAACAAAACGCCCAGTAAAGTTCCAAACGAGTTGCTAGGAGGCCCGAAATCAAACAGTTTACTCCCAGCCCCCAACAGCTGTCCACTATCCAAACATTATTATCTTGATGTTTGCAGAACTTTTTACCTCACATTTTAACTGCACGCTGAAATGACCTCAAGGAGGCCCATTGTCGAACGTAACCTTCAATTATCTGCTGATCATCATTCACTAAACATTATTAACAACTATCCACTCTTTGTTAAGTTATGTTGTACACATACAAACAAACAAAAACAAGACTGGCAATAAAAACATACATTACCATGGCGACCGTTGTAGTTGAGAGGGCCATTGTTTGCACGACATTGTCGTGATGTTGGGAAGCCTGCCTTCTTTTTTTAAATTTGCCCTTGGGAATAATTACCCAAGAATTTTACTCTGTCCTATAACAAGACTGATCTAGTTTCACGATTTGTAAGAAAGTAACAACCTATCAACTCCAATATCTACAGATGCATCACTTTCAAAAAAAAAAAAACTTATACCAGTTTCAATGCTTGTGGTGTGCCCGAAGGATCTATACTCGGCCCCCTTTTGTTCTTAATCTATGTAAATTACCTAGCCTTGGTATCTTTTCAGATTACTATTTGCAGACGACACAAACCTATCTTTCCCACAAAGATTTTAACTTTCGGTGATCTTTGCACATAAACTGGTTTTAAATAGTAATGGGAATGTTTTGGCATGATTAAGTGTGAATGATAAGAAAAGTTTGAATCTTTACTTCTGGATAAAATAAGAAAATAATGTCAGACGTTTCAGACGCCGTCCGGCATCTTTCATCAGTGAAATATTCAAAATTGCGATAGAACTCGGAACGGCACCGTTAATTCTAAAAGTATTTATGTTCTAAATAAACAAATAATAAGTTAACAACAAGCGTTCTATAGATTCTATATACAATACACATGGTAAAGTATTAACTAATGTAATGATAAAGATAAGTAAGTCCCTAGATATGCTGTAAAGTAGAATCCCATGTACTTGAAAGTTCAACTCTAAGTCCTCCCTTCCTGTTGAGTGATGGTTTATAAAGTCTTTCATAAATCGCCTCCTTGACTCCACGCTCAAACCAGCGCGCCTCCCGGTCCAAGATGTCCGTTGATTCAAGATGAAAAGAATGTCCTTTATGTTTGTCCAGATGGTGCCATATGGCCGAAGAAAATCCACTGTTACTGGCCCTGCAGTGTTGCTTATATCTTTCCTTGAGCGGCTGACTGGTCTCCCCGATGTACGTTTCTTTGCATTGATGATCTCCACATTTTAGTCTGTAAATGACGTCCGATTTCACACAGTTTTTAAGTTTGTCCTTTGGATGAAACAACATCTGTCTGAGAGTGTGACATGGTTTGAAGTTGGTGGCGATGTTGTAGTTGTGTAAGATACGTCTTATCTTCTCCGAAACTCCTTGGATGTATGGGATGGAAATGTTGACTGTTTTAGTCCTGTCTAACTGTGAGTTTCTTGACGTCTTCTTAGATGAGTCGGAAGGCTTAAGTGGTTTGTTAAAAGTCCATTGTTGATATCCACACTTGGATAGAGCTTTCTTGAGGTGATTATGTTCCTGGTTCCTTGGCTCTGGCTTCAGCCGAAGTAATCAAGGTGTCTGCTCGATGAAACAAGGTTCTTATCACACCAAGTTTCTGTTCCAAGGGATGGTGAGAATCAAAGATGAGATATTGATCGGTGTGAGTAGGTTTACGATAAACCTCCACCTATATGTGACCGTCTGTCTCTACATGTAGTTTGGCATCCAAGAAAGGTAGTGTGTTATCTTGACTGGTCTCCTGAGTAAAGCTGATATGTTTGTCAACCTTGTTAATGTGTTCGAAAAAATTGTCCGCCAATCCCGCCAATTTACCAACCAGAGGACCAATGATGTTGGCACGGTTCTTAGCCAACATCATTGGTCCTCTGGTTGGTAAATCAGAACATCATGTAAAAAACAGTGAAGACTTTGTCAACAAAATCAAGGATATTTGTGTTGAAAATGATGAGAGACTTGACTATTTAGCACATTTATTTAGTTGGTATTGGAAAAAGTTGGTAAAATACGTGTTAAGAGAAAAAGTGGTGATAATGCGTAGTTTTTACTTGTATCCCAATGAATTATCATATATTAGTGAAAAAATGAGTTAACACCCCTCTAACTCATTTTTTCACTAATAAGAGATTCCATGAAACCTATACTAGTGAACCTTTTACTAGTGAAAAAATGAGTTAACACCCCTCTAACTCATTTTTTCACTAATAAGAGATTCAGTGAACCTCTTACTAGTGAAAAAATGAGTTAACACCCCGCTAACTCATTTTTTCACTAATAAAAGACTTCACTGAACCTATTACTAGTGAAAAAATGAGTTAAAACCCCTCTAACTCATTTTTTCACTAATAAGAGCAATAGTGAACCTCTTACTAGTGAAAAAATGAGTTAACACCCCTCTAACTCATTTTTTCACTAGTAAGTTTTTTTATAGAACCTTTTACTAGTGAAAAAATGAGTTAACACCACTCTAACTCCGGCCTCGGGAGACATGAAATCCCCTTGGTGGGCGGGGCAGTTCTAAATCCTCGTAGCTAGTCAGCCTCAAACCGTGCTCTATCTATTACGTGTTTTTAAAACCCTGCTGACGGGGCTACGAATGATGGGCTGGGGATCCCGGGAGAGATAGGAAGAGACGGGGGTATATGGGATGGAAGTAATTGGGGGAGGGGGTCGCAATTGTGTACGCCGACAGGAAGTGGAATTTCCTGCTTGGTCTAAAGAGCTTAGGTTTCGCGAAACGGCATCAGCCATATTATTTCTTTCTTCATTTTAGTTACGCATGTATCATTTTCTAGCTATGTCATGCCATTCCCTACCCGAAAAAGGATTCAAAAAGGAATCGGCAAAAGGCCAGTATCATGCTTGTGCGGGTTCAAGCCCGGGAATTGCCCACTACTACGTGACCCTTCAGTCTCCCTTCAGTCATAATACAGGAAAATGTGTGTAGCAAACAGTACAAACATTAACTTGTAAAGCCCGCCACCCCAAGGCTAGTTTCAGGGCTGTGTAATTAAATCTTGGCAGGTAACGACGACCATGTAATGATTGGAACAGGCCTAACCTGACAGGGCTTATTTTATTTTTTCACTAGTAAGAGGTTCTATAAAGTCTCTTATTAGTGAAAAAATGAGTTAACACCCCTCTAACTCATTTTTTCACTAATTAGTGTCTTTACAGAACCTTACTAGTGAAAAAATGGGTTAACACCCCGCTAACTCATTTAATCACCGGTAGAGGTTATGTCGAGTTTGTTACTAGTGAAAAAATAAATTAAGCCCTGTCAGGCTAGGCCTGTCCAAATCATTACATGGTCGTCGTTACGCTGCTAAGATTCAATTACACAGCCCTAACACTAGCCTTGAGGTGGCGGGCTTTTACGTCCTTGTTGGTGTCCATTTACTCTACTTACGTCCTTGTTCACGCCGATCAACGTACCAAACACTTTGGTACGTAGAGTGGGAAGCCAGCCTGTGTCGCCACTTGCATGTGGCGACACAGGCTGGCTTCCCGCTCTAGCTAGCGGCGCCACGCCTATCCACCGTCCGCGCGGTAAGATTTTAGCAAAGAGGACATTTACGGCGTATTTCTTGCAAGGGACCGTACGTTATATACCGGGGGGAGGGCCGGTGCATAGGCAGAAAAGAAGTCTTGAAGTTGAAGATCTCCGCTTGACTAGACCCGAACAGAATATCTTTGGTTGTCCTAGTTTGGAAGTATCATTGAAGTAGCCCTAAGCCTAACGTTCTACCTTTCCACTAAAATAATAAAGGGAACACAAAGTGGCGAATAATTCAGGGTACAGTGACGAATTTGGGGTACAGTGGCGAATTTAGGGTACAGTGGCGAATTTGGGGTACAGTGGCGAATTTAGGGTACAGTGGCCACCCCCCATTAACGTTATAAAGTATCAAAACTTATTCAAAGCGAAACTCGGGCACTTCTCGCAGAGTTATGGGACATATGGAAGAAACCAATCATCCTCGGGGGGCGACCAATTACGAGGAGAAGCGGTTATTGTGACCGGCTGCTAAGGACATATATCGTGTACTTTCGTAAAGCATTTTGTAAAGCATTTTGAAGGTATAAAAATTCTGATAAAAGTTTTCCTTGGCCCTACCTCCCGCCTTTTCTAATTTTTCCCCAGTGCGCACAGCCCCCCCCCCCCC